ACAAGAGTGGAGAGCAATCAGACAATGATGTGACACATACTCCCTGTCCTTATTGTGATAACGATGTCGTCGATACAGAACTCTCTTGTCATAAGTGTCGCAATTCTATACCTTTTTGTATCGCAACAGGAATTCATATCATTAAAGATGATCTAACGGTTTGTCCGAATTGTCACTTTCCGGCCATTTTAAGTCAATTCTCAAGACTTATGTCAAGCGAACCGATGTGTCCGATGTGTAACACAGCCGTAGACTCGACACAAATTGTCAAATTAGGAGACATTCAATCCATTGTGGATCTCAACTAAGAAAATGTTTCAAACAGAATATTATTTTACTGTTAAAAATTCTGTATTTTAAAGAATTGTTATAATTTTGTTGAAATAAATAGAATTTTCAACAAAACAAAGATTTAGTATTTAAATAAAAATTTCAAGAATCATAAGAGAAATGAGTTTTATAATTGTTTTTTGTAATGAAAATATTGATTTAATACTTTGTTTTGATAATAGATTAGCTTTTCTTCACTTCATTCAACATATGGGCCTTGAATTGAGATCTACAACATGAAGATCATATCATAAGTAAATACAAACAGACAGATGCAACAGATTTGACGTATAAATAGTTATCACTTTCGGCTATATTTGTCAATATTTGAACATAAGATATGATATGATTTTTCCACTGTTTAATGAAAATTATTTTTGTCAGAAACTTTCCATCCCTATGGCTATTATGGAATATTACAGAATCACAGAATATCATTAATAGGTTATCATGTTAGTAATTGTAAACTTTATTAACACCATAAACATGTGAATCCACTTTTAAGTAATTATTAATTAAAAATAACTAAACAGTATTTGTAATATTTGTTAACAAATAATTAATGCATTATATTTAATAATTAGTGACCATGATTTAATAATGGATAAAATGAATTTTATTTTTATAATATTAAAAGTATAGCTGATTTATCATTTACTCCAATTTATATTTACAAAACTTATCATTCATTTCCTTATCATAGACTTGAATGAGTAATACTCATTGAGTATAACATCATTACATGAAATAATTTTCTGCGAAAATGTTTCAACAAATTAATTACGGAATGGATTCGTAAGTGAAAGCAAAGACAATTCAAATGCCATAAAGTAGTGTCGCTTTTGTTGTAAAAATCATTTATTAAATTTAAGTTTTGCTGCAAAACAGATAGTATGGAGAAAGCAATTCAATTGAAATGAAAGTCAAATAAAGGGTTGCAATCAAAGGGAGAAAGAAATGATAATTCACTTGTTTTGGCAGTTGTTGGCTAAAGAAAGGCTACTAAACCCGTAAGCTTTCAAATGTGAGAGTTTTCTAATGCAATACAAAACAATACAATTGAGGCGATGAACAAAACTCATCTTCTGATGCCTTAATCACTCGATCCAAACAAATAATGCCTTTATTTTGAATGAACTCTTGTTTTGCATTCATATAAGAATTCAATTCAATGCTAATCTAATTATTTCTCATAAAATCTCTTTTAAATGCCTAATAATTTATCAATCAGTAGACAATATGTCAAAAATAGCAATATTTACCGCTATTTATATTCATTATAACATAATTTACAGAATATTCTGGTCTTAAAATTTTCAAAAATGCAAAAAATTGATATTATATTTGCATTAAAATAAATAAGTTATAAATTAATAATTTATGGCTTAAATAATTTGATGACTTTTAAGCATTAATATTAATTATTAATCATTTCTTATAAATAAATGTGATTTAAAATACATTTAAATATTGGATATAATTCTGGGTTTGAATGAAGCGATGATTTTGTCACTGATTTGAAGCCAAAGTCAGACATAAGAGACATCTGTTGTAACGAAAAGACAAAACCAATGGTTTGACTCTTTGAGCGATTATTGTGTTTACCATTTCATCACTCATTGGTATCCGAGAGAAGAGATGTCATCGAAGAGCAGTTCCGGCAACAGATCCAACGCCAAGAGTGGTGTCAGCGATGGTGTGGTCACCGAAGAGACGGTTTGCGTCGAGTTTTGCGCTCCGATTGACACACAGTTAGTGACCAATAATTCAATGAAATTCTTGGGATTAGACACGAATCAAGTGATACTTCAGATCTGTGGCAACACTTTCTTCGCCGGACAACTCGACCACACGTTGGGAACCAATGTCTTGTTCGAAGTGAAGACCAAAGACACGAAAGACTCGCCCAAGAAGTCCAGTCATCACAACCACAACAATGAGCCCAAAGGGTCGGCCAACGCATCCCAAGACAACGCTTCCAAACAAACGATTGAATATTTAGCCAAATGTGACCACAAATTGGTTATGAAAAGGGTTTTCCTCGAAACACATCCAAACGAAGACACGACTGACACAACCAATCAATCGCTACAACAATCATAGCACTCATCACTCATACCATTCATACCATTCATTTACATCCACTTTAATCATACTTTTTATTACTAATTATTAAAACAATTATATATTTTGTAACCAAAAAAAATCAATTGAAATTAATTTATTGTTTATAAAAACTATTGATAAATACTTTGGTTTAAAAATCAAACAAAAGTTATAATAAAAAGGAAAGTTTGTATCCAAAAAAAGTATTGTGTCAGAAGTGGGATTCGAACCCACGCCTACATTCGTAGACCAGAAGGCTCAGTGCATATGCCGTACAACATATGAAGGGTATATCCCTTGAGTCTGGCGCCTTAGACCGCTCGGCCATCCTGACAGTGTTGACTACACATCCCTTATATTACTACCACTTCATTAGATATTCACTTTGGCTCCCAATTCAAACATGTGTATCCTTTATTTTAATCACAATTTTGTTGTAATTAATGTTTATTTGTAAACTTTGTTCAATTAAAAGCCACTCAATTCGTCGATTTGCGTATAGTTTGATAACAAGTATTTAATTTCATATCATTTATCGTTTGGTTGTTTTTCTGGTAATGCTTTCGAAGTTTGTGATGAATTTATGCCTTCAAATGTAACCATAGAAATGATGGCAAGAATAGTGCATTCATTTCTAGGAATTTCTTTCGGACATAAGTTTTTGTGAAATTATTTGTGAATATCTATTGAAAATGAAAGTAAGAATATTTTAATTAATTTTTTTGTAGGTATTAATCATATATAAAAACATTTACAGAGAATATTCTCAATCGGAAACAATTCCCATTCAATGGGATCTGTATTCTTCACGTGGCAAAAGGGAAGCGCTTCCTATTTGGTTACCACAGGTTTAGACAGTTTTGTTAATGTTTACGATCGGTTAGTATTTCAACAATTGTCTCAATTGAGTGATCATTACGTTTGCAATCTATACCCACAGACACGGCGAAAGAGTGGATCAGGTCAATCTTCCGGGGTATGTATAAGTGTAATGTTATTTTTACATGGTATAAATAAATGGATCAATTGGAACAACAGATATTGCAATGGCGTGGCCTGGGATTCAGAGGGAGACCTATTGGGTATCATAACAGACAGATCTCCGTGTGTTGTCTTATGGGACGCGAACACACATCAAGTCCAACAGGTGGATACCGGAGTGAGAGATGTTTTATCGCTGATATTATGGTCCAAAACGTCAGCACCACTTCTGGCGGTCGGAACCACTAAAGGAAATCTATTGATTTATAACCACAGAACCGCTCGAAAACTTCCCATTTATGGCAAACACACTAAAAAGATAGTGAGCGGCGCCTGGAGTGACAATAACCTGTTGGCACTCGTAGGTGAGGATCGGGTGCTCACAGTGAGCAACGAAGTGGGAGACAATGTGGCCATTAATACACTGAAAGGAGACGGCGTTGCCGTTCAGTTCTCGTTCATGAAGTTAGACGATAGGCCACAGAATAATACACACCAGAACTGTGTTAGTCTTATAATCAACAAAAAACAACTATTTTTACTCAATTTAACGGATTCTGAAAATCCAATTCAATTGACATTTCAAGAGAGATATGGTTTTATTGTTGACTATCAATGGTTTGGTGACGGAATGATTTTGATTGGATTCACATCTGGTATATTCATTGTTGTCTCCACTTATTATAAAGAGATCGGACAAGAGTTGAGCCAATTTAAGGCACACAAAGAATCGCTCACAACGTTTAGTGTTTGTCTAAATAGTAAAAAACTCGTCTCTGCCTCAGAAAATAAGTCAGTTTTATTAATCAATAATTTAATTGTACGAAAATATACTTTAATTATGTTTATATTTCTAAATATAGTTTAAAAGTTTGCGATTTAAATGACTTAAACGACATCCAGTCGGTGATGACCATCGATGACGAGCCGGCAATCGAATGGATGGAGTGGTCAGATGACGGCCAGTTATTGGCGATGGTGTCTCCTTCGGGAACAATTCATGTCTATCTATCAAAGCTGACAATATTAGGCGATTCGTTCGGCACTCGACTGGCATTCTTGTCATCGCTACTGGAAGTGACGGTTTTCAACGTTCAGGAAGACCTGTCCGACTCAGTGGTGATCCTCCGCATAGACGTGGAGCCATCGTTAGTGGCTGTCGGCCCCTATCACGCGGCCGTCGCCATGAATAACAGGGTTTGGTTTTACAATTTGACGGCCAGTGAGTCGACAGAACTTCTTCGAGAGCGCGAATACGTGGGAATCGTTAAGTGTCTGAAACTGAACGGCGATTACGCGGCCGCTCTCTTCACTAATGGTACCATTCATTTGCATTTAATTGAAAACGAACTCAATTCCAGCGATTATGAAAGTCGTGATCTCAAGTCGTTTCCTGACGGCGCCGGAAGCGCTGTCGGCAACGGAAAAATAACGACACTTTGTTTGACTAACGACTTCCTAATCTTCGCCACCGATTTGGGATCAATTGAGTTCTTTATGTTAGAGGACTGGGCTATGGTTGGGGTCTATCGGCACACGACTGGCATTAAAATGATTTCAGCCAATGTTAACGGCATTCGTGTCGCTATTATTGACGACCGAAACGATGCGTTCATTTATAATTCAGTGACTGATGTAATGACACAATTATCCCAAAACGACTTCCCAACCAATCCTCGCACTATTCTATGGGAGAGTTGGCCTTTAGATAAGGGAGTGTTCATCGCATGCGACCAAAAGTTTGTGTATGTTTTCATACATATCAGGGATACGATTGAAGGGCCGACTGTTGAATACGTGGGCAAAATGAAGATCCCTTCGGGACAATACCCGCTACTACTCTATAACGGAGTGGTTGTCTGTCAGACCCAAAGCGGCAAAACATCCAATTTTGTTCTCCTGACCCATGATTTTGGCGACAAAATGAATGACAAAACTAGACTCAAGACAGAACTTCTTCGCGATATATTGAAACTCCGCAGATATCAGGACTCGTGGAAGATATGCGAATACCTGGACGACAGCGAGGCGTGGGATGAGTTCGGGAAGGCGGCCATCAATGACATGGATATTGAGTTAGCCGTAAGAATATATAGACATATTCAACACTCGGGTTTTGTCACTACATTAGAAAAGCTTAAATCAATCGACGAACGGAATCTATTGGCCGGTCATTTAGCCAACTGTTCCAATCAATACGATTTGGCGCAGACCTTGTATTTGTCGTCATCGCAACCGTTGGAAGCGTTAGAAATGAGACAGAATTTGTTGCAATGGAGCGAAGCGCTAACTTTGGCCAAACGGTTGGCACCGAATCAGATCCCAATCATATCGCGTGAATATGGCGTCCAATTGGAGTTCACGGGAGACTATGCGAGTGCTCTCGAAAACTACGAAAAGGGTTTGATTGTCGACCAGAATAGCGAATCCAAACCACTCAACGTTGATATCGAGAGTCACAACGAGTTATGTAAAGCAGGAATCGCTCGAAACGCCATTCGTTGCGGTAATACTCGGCGTGGGATTGAATTCGCGTCACAACTCGTGCACAACAACACACTTCTGGAAGAATGCGCCACAATATTGGACTCAATGAAACTGTATTCGGACGCAGCGATGCTCTACGAGAAGAGTGGCAACAGTGAAAAGGCCGCCAATCTCTATATGAAAGTGAAAAACTTCAATAAAGTATCGGATCTATTGGGAAAAGTGGACAATAAAGAGCTTCAAAGCCAATTCGCGAAAGCGAAGGAAATGGAGGGGAAATATAGAGAAGCGGTTAAGGCTTACATTAAAGCGGAGGAATGGCTGAATGTTGTGCGCCTGTATTTAGATTATCTCAATAATCCGGGCGAAGCCGTGAAGATTGTTAGGGAAAGCAAATCAATAGAAGGCGCAAAAATGATCGCAAAGTTTTTCCAGAAGTTAAATGACATGAGTTCTGCCATCGAGTTCCTGGTTATGTCCAAATGTCACGACGAGGCCTACCGTTTGGCGCAATCCACGAACCAAATGGACATTTATGCCAATATATTACTCGATTATACGGATAACAGTGAGTTGTCTCAGGATTTCTTAAGCATTGCCATACATTACGAACAGGAAAGGGATGCTCTGAGAGCCGGAAAGTTCTATTGCATCGCCGGTCAGAAGAAAAAAGGCGTCAAATTCCTGTTACAGGCGTCCGCCCTCTCCAACGAAGACCAGAACCAGGCCTTACAGTTGGCCATTGAATCGGCCGCCACTTCCAGAGACGAACAGATCATACGAATGATTATCGATTACTTGATTGGAGAGACCGATGGCGTCCCCAAAGATTTCAAATACCTGTTCAGACTTTATATGTCTCTTAAGTACTACAAAGAGGCCGCGAAGACAGCACTTATCATCGCCAGAGAGGAACAGAATGCCGGCAATTATCGTAACGCTCACGACTTGCTCTTCGGTATGTGTCAGGAATTGAAGCGACAGTCAATTGCCGTTCCCTCAGAGATGGTCAACAGCTTAATGCTTATTCACTCCTATATACTAATCAAGGTGTTTATATAACTGCTTGATATTCACATTAAATTTGTTTATATAATATTCCTAATGCGAAAATATTTGCATTTCTTTCCACTCAAACTATGTTTAACATCAACTCATATAAAGTTATGGATACGAGTGGGGGATCACATGAGGAGCGCTAAACTGTTAATTAGAGTGGCAAACAATTTGAGTCGATTCCCAGAGCGTTAGTATTCAATCATCACACGAGTGCCGCCGACTCTTAATAATTTGTTTTTACGTTACTTTAAATTGAATGACAATTTCCATAAACCTTAACACAACACACATTTATTCCACTTTTTATACACGTTTTACACTTCACTTACTTTTTTCAATTGCATTTCAAGTCGTTTAGAAAATTTAATAAAGTTTTACACCAGAGTTAAGACCAACTTAAGTCGTTAGGGAAAAGTACAAACAATATAACAGTAAAGTTCTGCACATTTAATACATATAAAAATGTAATCATATTTCTAAAACTATGAGACTTTTTTATTTCAATAATATAGATATCGTTCCGATACTGACTTCGGCGGTAATTGAGTGTCAAAGAGCTGGTCTGAAGAAGGAATCGTTAGAGTTTGCGACAACACTAATGAAAAGCGAATACAGAGAACAGATTGATATCAAGTTCAAGAAGAAGATCGAAACACTGGTTCGTAAGTCAGGCGGTGTTCACAAGAGTGGAGAGCAATCAGACAATGACGTGACACATACTCCCTGTCCTTATTGTGATAACGATGTCGTCGATACAGAACTCTCTTGTCATAAGTGTCGCAATTCTATACCTTTTTGTATCGCAACCGGAATTCATATCATTAAAGATGATCTAACGGTTTGTCCGAATTGTCACTTTCCGGCCATTTTAAGTCAATTCTCAAGACTTATGTCAAGCGAACCGATGTGTCCGATGTGTAACACAGCCGTCGATTCGACACAAATTGTCAAATTAGAAGACATTCAATCCATTGTGGATCTCAACTAAAGATAAACGTTTCAAACAGAATATTATTTTGCTGTTAAAAATTCTGTATTTTAAAGAATTGTTATAATTTTGTTGAAATAAATAGAATTTTCAACAAAATAAAGATTTAGTAATAAATAAAAATTTCGAGAATCAGATTAAGAGAAATGAGTTTTATAATTGTTTTTTGTAATGAAAATATTGATTTAATACTTTGTTTTGATAATAGATTAGCTTTTCTTCACTTCATTCAACATATGGGCCTTGAATTGAGATCTACAACATGTGAAGCGCTATCCAAATAGAATTGTTAAAAAAGAAATCACTTTAAAATATCCGAATTAAATTTCATCCGTAAACTTCCACATCACTTATACATGTACAGTATATAGAATTTTAATCTGTTCATGCTGAAATAAAGACTAAAATATATAGGTATTACAAAATATCTTTGAGCAATTATTTTTAAATAGTATTNCTAATCTAATTATTTCTCATAAAATCTCTTTTAAATGCCTAATAATTTATCAATCAGTAGACAATATGTCAAAAATAGCAATATTTACCGCTATTTATATTCATTATAACATAATTTACAGAATATTCTGGTCTTAAAATTTTCAAAAATGCAAAAAATTGATATTATATTTGCATTAAAATAAATAAGTTATAAATTAATAATTTATGGCTTAAATAATTTGATGACTTTTAAGCATTAATATTAATTATTAATCATTTCTTATAAATAAATGTGATTTAAAATACATTTAAATATCGGATATTATTCTGGGTTTGAATGAAACGATGATTTTGTCATTGATTTGAAGCCAAAGTCAGACATAAGAGACATCTGTTGTAACGAAAAGACAAAACCAATGGTTTGACTCTTTGAGCGATTATTGTGTTTACCATTTCATCACTCATTGGTATCTGAGAGAAGAGATGTCATCGAAGAGCAGTTCCAGCAACAGATCCAACGCCAAGAGTGGTGTCAGCGATGGTGTGGTCACCGAAGAGACGGTTTGTGTCGAGTTTTGCGCTCCGATTGACACTCAGTTAGTGACCAATAATTCAATGAAATTCTTGGGATTAGACACGAATCAAGTGATACTTCAGATCTGTGGCAACACTTTCTTCGCCGGACAACTCGACCACACGTTGGGAACCAATGTCTTGTTCG